TTTGAACGATATAAAATAATAGGTAGGTACTTAACTATATTTTATACAAGATACCACCGTGTTTGATTTTACAGAATAAAAAAATACATTTTCAGCTTTTGACAAAGTTACGATGAATTTTCTAATAAACCGGGTCCCGAATGTTTTGGTGGTTAGGTATATTCTTCATGCACTGGTCGAATAAATACATAGGTACTTAGGTACCTAAACTATTAAATACTGATATTATATTACTTTGTGTTTTATTTTGTAGCGGCGGAGTTGTGGACACACAAACGTCGTCGTCGGTTTGAGTGTTTGACAGTTCCAAACGAGGTTAGGTTTTAGAAGATTGTACCTACATAGTAAAAATAATAATTACTATTATTATTGCTTGAGTCGTTAAACCGGCGACACATAACACACGTCGATCAAATAAGATTGGTACATACAGTGGATACCAGATGAAACAGTACCTATTATATTATATAGGAATCGTGACATTTAAACACGCAATAGAGTGCGATTATATATATAGATACGTATAAATGTACTTTGTTTCTCCTTGGTCAAGTAATATGATGATCAATTTTCACTATAAAAGAGTTCTTTTATTAATTATTAAGAAACAAATATAAATAATAATAAACATACTATTTATAAAAGAAAATCGATTTTTCATAACTAATAACTTTCTACTTTCGAATAATACAAAATATAATAATAATTAATAACAGTAAAAATACATGTAATATCTACTTAATAGTTAATAGATGGTACCTACCGGTGCCGCAATTAGGATTCTTGGGACCCCGGACACATTCAATGTATGCGGGGCCCTGAAGTCTATGTATAATATAATATTTTTTATATTTTATGTACCTATACAAAAATAAATAATGATGGTGATTTTTTTTTTAAAAAAATAAAATTTTTACAAGCACTTAAAACACCGAAAATCGTGAACTTCGTAAAGCTTTACCATAAAAACTAATAATTTCCGGCAGTTAATTTTTGCATCATAGATATACATCTTAACTGGTCGCAACACATGGGTTACCGAAAAAAAAAAAATTGAAAAATTTGCTTGAGCGCTTAACTAGATTATAAATATATAACACTAAATTAAAAAAATATTTTCGAGGTTTTAAGAAATTGTCTTCAAATTATCACATTTAATTATTTTATATAGTGATATTATTGGTTGGTTCAGTTTCTATTTTATAATAGATCAATAGCCAATAGGTTACCTAAATCACATTTTTTTTAATTTTAAATCCCGGTAGTCGAGTTTTTGGAAAGTACCACAAAGGAGACTTATAATAATTCACATTGTAATTTAATAGAATGTCTATACATTTGCGGACCAGTTTCGGATAGTTAAATTTGGCTTGCGAACTATGAATGAAATAGAAAACCAGAATAAGTATATTGCTGATCACAACAATTTCTGTAAAAGTACGTACGATTTAACAAAGACCGATTAGGTACTGAGTATAGTATATATAAGTTCTATGGATTTATCTTAGTAAATAATATATTTTATAATAATATCTATGGCTATCGTCAATTATTGTCGACATTCGTCGGCAACGATTAACAATTCTAATAATTTCAGTGAACAAAAAAATAATAAGCGATCAATATATACGGACAGTTTGTTAGCACAAATTCACACATTTCGTTATGGTCAGATTATTTTCATTAAATATTTCGATACTTTCAAGTTTCAGTTCTGAGCAAGATGATGATGGATGAAGATAGCCGTTTTTTCAGCGACGGCGGCACTCTAGCTAGATTTCACCGGAAGAGTCGATGTTTACGCGTAAGTTTGCTTTCATATTATTGCTATTTTAGTATTTTACATTTACTTTAACACTTAAATTAAATATTTATTGCCCCGGACAATCTGTTAACTGGGTGACGTAGAAGCATTTATACGTTTAATCCTAAAAGCGCCATGTATAAAATACGCGAGACCGAACAGTCCAAAGTCCGTTTTCGTTTCACTACTCTAAGTTTAATAAGTGCCTTTTTGCATAGGTATACTATAAGTCGGGTATCACCTTAGGTTTTGCGTGAAGTATTTAAAACAATATAATATTATCAATCTTTATATTTTATATACATAAATACATTATAAACCTCTTGTATTTCATTAGCATACTCACAAATTTTGTAGTGTAGTTTATACCCTATATAGCTAGATATTAAATGTTTTGGAAATTATATATTTTACTATAATTATTATTTTCCATTATCATATAATATAACAATACACTTTAAATTAAATTAGTTGTTATCAAGACAGACAGTCTTAAGACAAACTCTTTTCTGGATGTTATCAAAACGGATTATGCTTAAAAAAATTGTACAGTTGTCGTAGCAGTCAGTTGCTAGATCAACCCGTGAGACATTAAATTATTTTTTCGAAAAATATATGTAAATATGTAATATGTATGGCTCATACAATTAAGAATTTATAGTTAATAGAAATGCGGATGTTTATACTTCATAGATATTTTTTTATTGAAATCTTGTAAATAATTGAATTAAACAATCGGGTACAAATCACTAGTAACAATTTTATTATATTACGTGTAAAATCACCGGAACAAAGTGCAGACTGCAGATTATTAAGCATTAGTACAGCTATAGTGTATTCGTGTATATAAATTATAATAATATACTCTATTTATAGTATATATTTGTGATGTCTATAAACTTGTGGACTAATTAGTTTGGTTAAATTTAGTATACGATAAATAACTTAAATAGAAAACAAGAATACATTGCAGACCTGAGACCACAAAGATTTCTGTAAAAGAACACACGGTGTATCAATAGACCGTGTATGTGTGTTGAGTGTAGAAGTTCTATGGATTTATTATATTAAATAATATATTTTATATCATCTATGGCAATCGCCAATTGTCGATATTCGTCTGCGACTATTAACAATTCTAATAATTTTAGTGAAAAAAAAATAATAAGCCATCAATATAATATACAGATAGTTCGTTAAGCAGTATATATTATAATGTAAGTTTTAACACGAATTCGCACATTTCGTTATGTTCAGGTAATTTTCATGAAATATTTCGATAGTTTCAAGTTACAGTTCGGAACGAGATGAAGACGGATGAAGATAGCTGTTTTTTCAGTGGCTTCACGTACTGGACGTTTGCATTGTTGATGGATGCACTCTAGCTAGGTTTCACCGGAAGAGTCGATGTTTCAGCGTAAGTTTGTTTTCATATTATTTTGGGATTCACGTTTACTTTTTAGGCATTTTAATAATTAAAAACATAATATAACGTAATGTTGTAGTAGAAGCTGGAAACTGTAGTGCCTATACCTATTCTAATTTTTGAATTTTTAAAATTTTAATGTAACATTTATTATGCCTACACAAAACACTTTTCTACAAAAATTGAATTAAAAATAAACAATATGATAATTGATTACATACGGAGAACCTATAATATATTATGCATGGAAAACGAAGGTCGAATTTGACTACCTACTTATCGTGTACACATCAAACACAACAAAGAAATAATAAAAAAAAATTAAAAATTAAATACACATCATAGTAAAATCAAAATATTCATCGTTCCACTCAGAATCTAAAATACAAATTATAGGTCCCCGATACAATTAAAATTTTCATAATATTGAATAATAATTAATAATTTTGTGATCAGCAGTATTCGTAGAAAATGTTAGATTTGAAATTTTAGAATCTAGTTGGTATTATAGCCGATACTGTAAATTTGATGAATTTACTGAGTATACCTTTATGTTACCTAACATCCAGTAATCACATTTTTATTTAATGATTTATAAAGTACAATACGCTTTTATAAAAATATGCTTGTACTTCTGCAGATATCTATTTACCATATTAATAAATAATTAAATTAATAAACGAAAATAAAAATTCAAATAATATATCATATTTGATACCTATTATTATTATAATTCAAATTCAAAATTATAAACTATTTTGATTTTTGTCATACAAAATTTCAACGAACAAATATTGTTCCTTAACATGGAACTCTTTGGTATAAAAAGTTGCATTATATGATATCCGTGGATTCATCATATGACGTACCTAGTATAATATCTATCATTATTCATTTATATTCCATGGCAAATCTCGAAGTCATTGTAGCAGACACAATCGTCATTAAAAATTCCAAAATTTCAACAAGCAAAGCAGATATGAGCAAAAAACTTACTGCGTTCCTTATAATTTTAATTTTCAAAAATCACAATATTTTAAGTTTTGTATTCTCTGGAGCGTTTCGTCATCGGCGTCACACACGTCACGGATTTCGCCGAAAGAGTCGATAATTAAACTATTAAAGTAAGTTTTTTTTCATATTCTTTTGGGGCTTAATTTTACTTTCATTTTTTCTAAAATATATGGTAAAAAATAAATCATATTTCGCTATAAAAAATAATAAAACAAAGTATTTTAAATTTGAGTGGAATAATTTTTTATGATCATAACCACATTGGCTACAGATTATTAAGCATTAGTACAGAAGTAGTTTATAGTCATTTTTGCCCAAAAAATTACATTTAAAAGTGTCATCGTGTATTCGTGTATATAAATTATAATAATATACTCTGAGGGCCGTTCTTACAATGTCCGGTAAAGAGTCGGTTAACGCTAACCGACTAATAACAGATTTTATTACCTGCAGGATTATACTGGTTATGTGTAGGTTAAATTTAACCGGACATTGTAAGGGCCGCTTTCACCAACGTAAAAACGGCGTTTATCTTTATTGAAAACGCCGATTATCTATTTAAACGAATTAATTAATTTAAACGGATTTCACCAAGATCGTTTAACGCTAAACGTCAGTTATAAGATAACCGGCCAATTTCAGTCAGTTATAGTGATAAACTCGGTTTATAGACGTTATTATTTTACGTACCTACCTACCGTTTTGCTACTGTTTTTTTTCTAACTTTTTGTGCTTCATCGTTTTAAGTTTTTAATTATGTCGCGCGCTCATAAGCGTGCATTTGCACTAGTTCTCGAAGAAGAGTATGACGACTTTGATGATATTTTCGTGAATCGCCGTCCTAGGTTTATCAAGGAAAGGACGAACGATTTTGAAAACCTTGATGAACTAGATTTCGTGACACGATATCGGCTGTCAAAAAAGTCTGTTCTTCACGTATTGGAACGAATAGAAGATCAGCTCGAATACAATAGTAACAGGTAAGTCAGTTTTTTGAACGGTAAAGTATGGCATGGCAATGACAAGATGTATAAGCTAATTGTTAAACTCATACTGTTAGATATTATTGTATAATTTACTTGATATTAGTACCTATATAGATAGCAACTTATAGATATTGTATTTCCTACTTTGTACAGAAATAACGGCGTGTCTCCAATCAACCAACTCCTATGTACCCTCAGGTTTTATGCAACTGGGTGCTTTCAAGGGACGGCAGGAGATCTATGTGGTGTCAGTGCTGCGACAGTAAATAGAATAGTGCATAAAGGCAGTCGGGCCATAGCTTCATTGTGGCGAGATTATATTTTATTCCCTGAGACTGATGAAGAAATCAAAAGGACTCAAAGGATGTTCTATCAGAAAGCTAAATTTCCAAGAGTCATCGGTGCTATAGACTGCACCCACATTAAATTCTGGCAATCGCCAGGTATGTACCCAAAATTGCTTATAAGATAGGTAGGAACCTAGTTATTTTGTACAAAAAAATAAATTGATCAAAAAATTAAGATACCAACTGGGTTCAGTTAACTTTTGGCTTTGGCACCATTGATTTACTTAAAAAAATAACCCATATTTTCATTATGGTTTCAGGTGGTGAAGTCCCAGAATCTTACAGAAACAGAAAAGGCTACTTTTCTCTCAATGTCCAAGTTATCTGCAATTCAAATTTAGAAATCACGGACATTGTAGCCAGATATCCTGGATGTACTCACGACGCCCGAATATGGAGGCAATGCCAACGTAGGGCCAGGTTTGAGAGAGGAGAGTATGGGGATGCTGTGCTGGTAGGGGACAGTGGATACGGTTGCCGAAGATACATGATGACCCCTCTTGATCAGTGTCATACTGAAGCTGAACATCTTTATAACGAGTCGCAAATCCGAACGAGAAACCCTGTAGAAAGAACGTTTGGGGTTTGGAAGCGACGTTTTCCTGTATTAGCCCTTGGACTACGAGTTCAGCTGATTAACATATTGCCGATAATAACAGCAACTGCTGTCTTACATAACATAGCAAGAAGAGCTGGCGAAGATATTCCTATTAACTCTGAAGTTAATCTACCCTCTCCTTGGGAGGAGATCCTCGCTCAGGATGATATTCCTGTACCCCTCCAAAGAGACCTACCTCATCGAAGGATCACGCAAGACAACAGAGAACGTCAAACATTGGTGGATGTATATTTTGAAAGAATGGTTAGGTTATAAATTCTATTTACATTACTTGCAAGATAAGTTGGTTCAATTAACCTTATTGAAATTTATATTATTTTATAGTACAATTCTTAAAAAATAATAAACTCAATAAAAAAATCATGTTTTTGTATAAAATGTTGTAATTTGTTTAATTATGGCTTTTAATTACAATTGATAACATTTTATTTAGGTCAGTAATTACATTAGAAAGTTTTACTTGCCTAATAATGTATTAAAAAAATATAGGTAGTCTGTTCAACATAGTATTATATAGCTTTTGTCATAATTATTTAAAACAAATTCCTTTTTTCGCATATTAAAACAAAATAATTAACACTTTATGTAGTAACAAAGGAACCATAGTTTTTGATTACTTAGGAACTTAATTAATAATTAAAAATTATATAACAGAAACTGCTTATAATAAAATAATAAAAATAAAATAATTAACACTTTATGTAGTAACAAAGGAACCATAGTTTTTGATTACTTAGGAACTTAATTAATAATTAAAAATTATATAACAGAAACTGCTTATAATAAAATAATAAAAATAAAATAATTAACACTTTATGTAGTAACAAAGGAACCATAGTTTTTGATGATTAGTAATTAAAAAGATTTCACAAAAACTTCTTTAGGTTAATGATAATAATAAAAATATAACAGTACTTAATACCTGACTCCCGCATTAGTCATTTTTTATTGTATATTCCACCATGTCACCAATTTTCTTATCAAGATCAAATCTAAGAATTTTGGTTTTCAATTTTTCTTGGACCAATTTCTCTTTTTCCACTTCCAACTTAACTTTTTCATGTTCAAGTTGGATTTCCAAGATTTGAATAGAAATAGCATGCTCATTAGTAGCTTCTTGGGTTGCTGTTGTCAAAGTACACAATTTAGCTTCTATTAAGGCTTCTGTTTGAGGTCGCCTAAGTACTGGCCTCCTTCTAGAACTGTCTGCCACAACTGACTGACGAGGCGTTTGATTTGCATTTTTTGATACATTTAAGTTTAATGTGGTATACCCAGAGTTCTCGTTTGAAGAAATTAATTGCATTTGTTGATGGGATACAGATGGCAGGTCAAACATATCATCTTCATTATTGATGACTTTTGCACTCACTTCCAAGTTGTGACATGTTCGAAGAGCAGGAGCAGGAGGAGCCTTCAGCATGCTAGGATTATAGTGAGACCAGTCATTAGCAGCATTTCTCTCCTACAATGTTATAAAATACAAACTTTTTTTTAAGTAAATGCAATTATTAAGAAATAAGTGTACACAATGTCATAGGTCTAAATTGTCTATAAAAAAATGAAAAGATGATAGATGATACCTATCTAATTTGTCATGATATTAGGTATCATTTATTTTCTTGTATTAGACAAAGCATTAGTACAATAAAAAATAATAATAATAGGTAAAAGTTAGAACATAATATTACCATGCTAGATAAATCTCCTACATCTTGGTCCTCAATGATGTTATCTTCATCTCCATCCACTATAAGTTGTAACAAACAATGTTAACAGTGATGTAAGTGATTGGAATACTATAATACTATACTATTTTAATTCAACATTTAAATTAAATTTTTAAATTTGTTTTAGAAGTTCTTGATGTTATATTACATTATACATAATATTACATTATTACATATTACATTAAATATTTTTTAGAACTTAATGGTGAAGTCTATTCTTACAAAAAAGTTTTGTTAAAGTCTAAAATCATTCATTCTAGAGCGACTATTAGGTACTAATATTCTGTACTGATTAGTGTTTGTATTATGTTGCTAACCCATATGCTTTAAAATTTAAATAGATTGTACTAACAAATGTCCAAATCATTCAACAATAAAATGTAATTAAATATTAATATATATAAGAATAGTAATAATAACAATAATAGTATTAATAATAATATATATATTAATATATTTATATTAAAAATTAATGCAGTACATACTTGGTGTTGTAATTTCTAGATGGTCACTATCAAACTCGTTTGATAATGCCTCCACTTGAGGACGAATAAGGGTTATGACTCTTGAGATGATTGGGTCTTGTAAAATTCTATTAGCTTTACCGCCACCTATATACAATACATATTGTACAAGAACGTACATAATCTTGAATACAATTATTTTCCACATTGTTACCTGTCGCATATAAGTTGTCGTGCTGTAACGCAATTACTATTTTGGCCTTTTTCTTCATATTCTCCCACAGTGTCCGCAAGACCAGCCAATCACGGAAATGAACAGAAGACGTGGCATTAAATTGGTCTGCCATGGTCTTCCAACGTTCGGTTTTGGTTCGGCTGCTGACGGCATCAGTTTTTTTGTTTTCAACTACCGCGTAGTTTTGTTCAACCAGATCTACTAATAGTTCCTTCTCCGCGGCTTGGTAAAGAGGTTCTCTTCTTTTGCGTTTGTTTATTGTTTCCATTTTCCAAGTCGCGAAATGCAAAAAGTGAAAACCACACCACGGTTCACAAGACACAAGTAGGTACACAAGGAAAACTTCGTTATAAATTTCGAAGTTCAATTATTTATTATCACCTTATCAGTACTGATTACTGACCATATGATCGCTGTGATTGTAGTTTATCAGCTAATCTTCGATTCTCCAAAACGCGTTTATTGAAAACGCGATTACCTTGGTGAAACCCAAATATTTTAAAACTGCGATTAATCTTTCGATTATGATAAACGAAGTTTCCCGTAAACGGAGTTCATTGGTTTTTGGTGAAAGCGGCCCTAAGAACGGCCTTAAAAGTTTTATAAATCCACGAACACCTACTATTTTTAAATTACAACAAAATAACTAAAATCGTTATTCTTTGTTTTAATAAGTAATTTCATCCAAATTTGAACTTATAATGTCTGTGAAAATTAACTGTGTTTTTAATAAATTATTTAGTTTTTTTTTGTTAGAGTATGAACACTCACTATGAACTATTTTTGAGAATTCTTGTTTTACATTTTCAATCGTTACCAATAAAAGTTGAACATTTTATAAATTTTACTACTAAATATAAACAAATAAGAAATTTTTGTATGAATATCTGACTACAAAATATTTTTAAAATTGTCAAGATTATGATGAATTTTGTAGAAATTTGAATTTTAAATGCCCGTAAATAAAAACGTGCCTATATATTTCTAATATTTTTTAACTGCTATTATATCAACTTACGATTAACTTTGTATTATTTTTAAGCTTTTTGAACCAACGAATAAAATTCATAGAATACAGAACTAAAAACATTTCATAATTCAAATGTCTATAAATCACTGAAAACGAGTCGAAACATTTTGAACATTATATAATATATATTATGATAGTTTAAACATTTGATGGACATTTTAAATACCGACAGTTAATGGTTGTTGAATAACAACAAAATAAGAAAATCGTTATACGAGAATCATATACAAATCATTGTAAAATCAAAATATTAATTTCTCCAGTAGTCCACTCTAAAATACAAGCTAACACACAAACCCGGATTAAGGGGGGGCAAGGGTGGCACAATAACGGGGCCCATTGTTTTTGGGGGCCCGTCTTTATCCCCAAAATATATTTTTTTAACGCTTCCAATACATTTAAAAATATATATATATATTGAAGTAGGTATAGGTATAGGTAGTAGATAAATTATTATTACTTAATAAATAATAATTATAAAATAAAATTGTTCTCAATTTTATATCATGTACAATTACTATAAATAATGAACTGTGTTGGTAAACACAATTTTCATTATGTTTTTTTTTCTGAGTATTTGCGATTACTGATTTAACTATTAACTACCTGTAGTTATAAGAAAAAATATTTAGCTCTTGTAAATTAGGTATTTCAGTTAAAAGTATTAACTCATATTATACTAAACTTTCGAGGACCATAGTTAATAAGTAATATATTACATATTTCCATATAATATATATATATATAATGTATTTTTATTTTTATTAAATTGTTGTAAAAAAAGGCTAAAAGGCTGAAATCTAAATTATAATTTGTTTATTTTATTATAATGGTTGACTTTTTATTAGGAATAAATGGAAGTGTTAATTTTAAAATAAAAGTGTTCTCTAAATTAGTGGAAGCATAAATGCAATAAGGGGAAAATATACATTTTGGGTTATCAATTATCACTTTTAAATGGCTTGAAAAAAATTTCTGTTTTGGTTTCGATTTATATACACTGGTTTCTAATTTTTTTCGGTTTTGGTTTTGGATTTAATACCGATTTCCAATTTTTTCCGATTTTGTTATCGGTTTCAGTTTTTAAACGGTTTAACCGGTTTCTAAAATCGGTTTCAATACCTGGACTATTTACGTTCATTCTTAGTTTATTAATTTTTTTGAATCGCTGGATCGAGAGTTCGATCGCTCGTGTAAAGTAAACTTTCAAAAATGTCAAGATACAAAGATTTTCAAAAAAAAATAAAGTTTTTTAAATTATATTTTCGGTTTTTAATTATTATACAGGTATGCAATTTTTGTCGAGTCGGTATTGAATTTAATACCGGTTAAAGTAAATTTTTAATTAAAGGTGGCTTAAAAGTTTTTTGTGATAATGAATAAAAGGAAACTGAGAAAAAAAGGGGCGCCAAAATCGTAAATACGCCACTGGTACTATGACGTAAGATTCACTCTGTATATTTTTTGCATAGTAAAAAATTATACAATAATATAAAGTCTTTAATATGTAATAATACAATTATTTTGAAGTTAAAGTTGAAAGGGGGCCCACTAAGTGTATGGTGTCTCGGGGCCCAATTGAACCTTAATCTAGACTTGCTAACACATAATAGTTAGGTAGGTGTAATACAAATTAAACATTATACATATAAAATATAATATCCGTGACGCTTAGGTCATAAGAATATTGTTGAACATTTTACTGCAGGCTGCGTGTTATTTCAGAAATGGTATTTAATTCGTCAGTGAAGATTTGTTAGCTGGGAATAAAATATTATATCATAAGCAGACTGAAA